GGGAAACAAGTTTATTTTTATTTTATTTTATTTTTTTAGACAGACTCTCACTCTGTCGCCTGGGCTAGAGTGCGATGGCGTCAGCCTAGCTCACAGCAACCTCAAACTCCTGGGCTCAAGCGATCCTCCTGCCTCAGCCTCCCGAGTAGCTGGGACTATAAGTGTGTGCCACCACGCCCAGCTAATTTTTCTATTTTTAGTAGAGACGGGATCTCGCTCTTGCTCAGGCTGGTCTCGAACTCCTGACCTCAAGCCATCCTCCTGCCTCGGCCTCCCAGGGTGCTAGGAATACAGGCGTGAGCCACACAAGTTTATTTTTAATTTGACCTTCATATGGTCTAATGAGTGCAGTTCTCCAGACAGGACAGCCACATGGCAGCTTTCAGGGAATAATAACAAAGACCAGAAAACAGCTTGCTCCTGAGCTGACCTATCCTTCGGCTGTCGCAGTGTAGTGACAGCAGGAGGAGGGAAGGACGGAGGGGCTGGGCTGAGTACAGGCTTAGGGGCCAGCCCCAGCCTGGCTCCTCAGGGACATTGGCATCGCCCAGCCTCCTCACTTGCTTCTCGCTCAGCTACACTCAGAACAGAACCGTGCCGAGTCTGACCCGGGTCTGCCTGGCACCAAATCTATTATGTGAGGTTCCAGCCCCTGAGAAATTTTAAAATTTCTCTTAAAATTTTAAAGACAAAGACATTGACGAATGACTTACATAAGTCATTTGTAACCGTGGACATGGTGTTCCATTCATTCAGTCACTCATTCATTCAAACAGATATTTATTGAGCACGTGCTATGTGCCAGGCACAGGGATCGAACAATGAGTATAACAAACAAGATCTCCACCTTCAAGAAGCTGACACTGTAGAGAAGGCAGACAGACAATAAGCAAGAACTAATATGTAAATATTGTCATCAGTAATAAGCATAATTAAAAAAATAAAGCCAGAGAAGGGAATGGAGAATAGCTGGGTAGATGGGAGGTGGACGCTCTACTAGACCAAGGTACTCTAACCACAGTCCTTGAGCTGCCACTATTTTAGTAAATGAAATTTTATTGGAACACAGCCAAGCTCATTTATTTACATATTGCCCATGGCTGCTCTCACCCTACAATGGCAGAGTTGAGTGACTGCAACAGAGACGGCATGACTTGCAAAGCTGAAAATACGTGCTATCTGCCTCTTTAAGAAAAAGTTTGCCATCGCCACAAAATACCACTTCACACCCACTAGAATGGCTGTAATAAAAAAGACAGACAATAACGAGTGCTGATAAGGCCATGGACAAATTGGAACTCTCCCGGGCTGCTCATCGGAATGTAAAATGGTGCCGCCACTTTGGGAAACAGTCTGGCACTTCCTCGGAAGGCTAACGTGGAGTCACTACCCCACCCAGCAACTCTAAGCCTAGGTCATACCCAAGAGAAATGAAAACTTATGTCCACACAAAAACTTGTACGAGAATGTTCACAGCAGCCGGGCACGGTGGCTCACGCCTGTAATCCTAGCACTCTGGGAGGC